ATCACAGGCCAGTGGAAATAAAGTCTTTGGATCCAGGGGTGTTGTAAGCATCTCAGTTCTAGCAGTGGTCTCCACATGACTTCTGCAGTTTCCAGGGCACTGGGTCTATCAGCGTAGTGCCAGGTGTCTTGTCAGTAGAGAGTTTCCAGAGGAGTGAGCAGTGGAGAGAGAGTGTCTCTCCTGCCTCCAAGGAGGAAATTCAGGAAATCCCAGGAGAAGGCCATGCACACACAAAGGCCTCATTGGCTATAACCAGATTGATAGCCTAGACACCACCTCTACACTCTCAATCCTCAAACTGACACCAGATTATGTAACTACCACAGAAATGAGAACTCAACAAGAGTTGACCTTCAGCACTTATATTGACTACTTGTCGGAGCAGATCTCTGGAACCCTCTTTCACTGTCTGAATGAACCCTAACCCACAAAAGGCTAAAGCCAAGTAGGAAGCCATACTATCAGGCTTCCGCCTTATGTTGCATAAGATGCATAATCAGATCTATACTGTCAAACCATCTATTATGATATTCATAAACAAATAAGGACTTTTAAAGAAAATAGCCTCCTTCGGCCTCCTCGGGTCCACACTGATCCAGTCACGTCTGATCATCGCCTCATATGAGCTTTTGGTTTCATGGACTAAGGATTTTCCAGGGATAGTAAATGAAGAATTAGAATCTTGTTAGAGTTCATAAAAAATCAATTTACTCTCTATTTGATAACCAGTCCTGTAGGTATATTTGTTGAAGCAAGAGAGGCACAAATGTCTACTTTAAGTAAATACATAAAATAACTTATAACTCCAAAATCTGGAAAAGCTTAATGTTATATGGTAGCAATATGTAGATTTATAGGCTTTTTGTTTTAGTTTACTGCTGTATTTTCATTAAATGGCAGACTGTTTATCTGTTGTCTTTTTTTTATTATTTATTTCTGTAACACCACTTTCTACTCATGACTTTAAAAATAACTCGAAAAAAAAACACATTTTACTATGTTCCTTAGCAACTTTTTGATGATTTCTTTTCTACTTGGTTAACCTTTGTCTATAATTACACCTTTAATGCTGCCTCATGTCGTACATCACACAGATTTTATAATGCAGTTTCAGATAATAGAATAACTTTGTTCTATTTTCCTTCCCTAGAGCCACAAACCTGTACACTGAAAGATTTTCTCTGTGCCAATGGGGACTGTGTTTCTTCAAGGTTTTGGTGTGATGGAGATTTTGACTGTGCAGATGGCTCTGATGAGGTAGGCATCGTTACAAAATCGAACTACCGAGGAAGCAGTTCTTAAGAGCAGTGTTTGCCCCTATTATGCAGTCCAGCAAGTGTGACTAGGCCAGATGTGCAGTGTGCCTTGTCCTGCCACACTGAGATACGTGTGACATCCAGGTACTGCGTGCACACACCCAGCATAGGAAATAGCTCCTGTATTACTCTTCACTGTGAATTTTATCATCGGTTTTGCCTCAAGTGGTGAATAGCTGGAATGGGAATAGGATGTTAAAAACCCTACTCCCTAGAGCTACTGCCAATGCTATCTGTGAATTTGATCATAGATTTCTGCAGCATTTATAGTCATGCCTAATATTTTTATGCATTTTAAACAGTTTCTTTGGCTTATATTTTTCCTACAATACATATTGTCTTATAATCTTTGAGATGAGATCAATTTCATGAAACCACAGGTTGAGTTTTTCTTAGTTGATAAAGCACAATCAGTTTACAATAAGATCCATGTACACACAATTTAAGTGAATAAGTGGAATCCCTTGATAATTCTGTAAAATTAGTTTGTGCTGACTATAATATTACTTCATACAATTGGTTATTAATATATTGATACATGTATGTTTCAGATATGAATTATTCCATGGTAATTGAAAAATAACAAAGTACACAAGATTGTTTTATATATATATTTTAGTGAAATATTTAATTACTATAAATATTTATTTCCAGTGTCAGGGAAGGTTAATCATAGTCACTTTTCATGTATGTGTATTGTTTTTTGAGTGATATAAGTAACACAGATCTTATGCAATCAAGTCTAATGGAAGGTAAAGGATAAAAAGAAGGTACCTAATCTCCATGGCTTTTTGTGAGATATTGACTCCATAGAGCTCTGCTTTTCTGGTTCACTCACAAATGTAGCCCCTAGTCAGGGTCCTCCCACTGACTATAGACCTATGA